TCTCGACTCCTTTTCACTTCGATTCCCCTTCCCCTCTCTGAAGCCTGAAGTCAACTAAAGGGCTAATGATAACTATCAAAATGCCTGCAATTTGAAATGAATAAATCATTACGCATAATATCTACTTAAGATGAAATATTAACAATTTTTACTCTTACCTTCATTAACCGAGGTTAGTTATGATTCTCTGAAAGATGTGACAATAGTTTGGGTTTCACCTATTGCGGCTTACTGAATTTACAGAGGCCCACAGAATAGCATTGTTGTTGAAAGTATTCCTTTGCCATATGACGCATTTGTTTGAAGACATACTTTTGTCCTTGTACAATTCACAGTCTTTGTGGTCGTCAGTGAATTAGATAAAGAAGGTAGCTTCCCAAATCTTGTGATTTTCGAATTCCCTTTGTGCAAAATGTTGCTGATATACTTCAAGATATAGCCTCCTCAATTAAGTAAACTTAACTGAATAATATCTGTAAATTCTTTTAAAAGTGATTTTTGGTTTGTAAAGTTCAAGCAAACGATTTAGTTAAGAAAATTTTCATGGTCATTAAAAGTTCATTTTCAGTAGTCATCGTTCTATAAATTAACTTGAGTAGAAGCTAATGCGTAGTGTCATTAGTTCATTTCTCAAACATTGCTAACTCTTTATTCCTTTGCTAGAAAGTTGAACAACTATGAATAATCCTAATTACAACCACGTTGTCTTTCCATTGACCTATTTCATCACATCATTCATAGGTCGACCCATCTGCTCGACTTAAACACTTTTACGTCATTTAACAATCACTGCGCTCTTACTTCTAAAACAAGAAAATCTGATTTCTCTTTTTAGCCATCCCATTATGCGATCTAAATGATTGACAACTTAAGCTGAAGTGTGCGCATTTATATTATCACAAATAATTTATTACCATCACTGCGCAGTTTTTCTGTTTATAACCCCCCTTTAATTTCATTGAATTAAGCAACGTGATGAAATTTGTAAAACTGTGTGCGCTACTTCTGATAATTTTTAATGCCATATATAGGCTAAATTAGTACACCAACAGCGGAATTAAATCGATGACCTCAAAATCACAGAAGTCTATTAAGCGGGCTCATGATTTAAGTAATATGATAAATAATGCGTTTTAAGGCAACGCGGTTTCTGCATAGTGTTAGAGTTGCTAATTTTCGAGTTTTTTTTTATTCTATACAAATGAAAGACCTGACTGACATGTGAGCCACTGGTGTCATACATTGCAAAATCATGCGTTCTTACGGGGTAAATACACAAACGAACTTTTCCTGAGATGAAGGTGACGGTAAGGTGCATTCCTAAATTTGCAATAATTGGTGAATAAAACTAGGCGAAAGTTCTCCAATGATAACAAGCTTTTATCTGCACACTCGTGCTTTCGATTTCAAAATGAAGTGAACTTAGCTGACCTTGACAGAGGGCAGTGTAGCTGTTAAATTGCGAACAAAGCGATACACATCGCTCGCAAATTAAAAGTGCTTCGAACAGGAGGCAGTTTAAAGGAATTCGTTTTTATTTGTTGGAGCAAATAGTTTATGGTTTCATATGAGCATGAAACTTAAAACGTAAATAATAACTAATCATAATAATAGTTTCAAAGCATTTTATAGAAGAAAGCACTTCTCTCATTGATCTGATACAGAGCAAGGGTGTGTTGAAGGTCCTATTTGAGATGTGTGAGGTGCGAAAGTGCCCGCGCATATCTCTGCTATCCCCAATTGCCAGTCGATAGAATTTTATTCACGGCTCAGTAAGGCACGAAGAACACAACACCTTCCAACCTCTCTATCACCGCGCTCCACTGGCAGTCCCGTTTCACAGGTGCTTAGTACTGACGCTTATAATTTCACTTCCCGATTCCCACTACCTCCATTCCAATTATAGGAACATTTTCAATTTTCAGTAGAATAGAAGTGTATTTAATTAAATTAAACGTAAGGCAAAGTACATAGATAAGTGAGTAACATGGACTTGGCTTAACCTACAAGAGGCATCGAGATTGTATTATATCCGCAAAGACTAATAACAATTCCTTTGATAAATATTTATATGATTCACAAATAACTGAAGTTGTAGTTTATCTTATTGAAACGTAATAAATAAAATTTTCTAAAGGAAGGCAATTTGTATTTGCAAATTTGCCCATGGTTTGGGGAAGTATAATCGAATTCTTCTAGCCCACCTGATCAAATGCAGAGAAATTCGCTGGGCTTTACAATCTCGTCGATCAACAAAAAATGAAAAATGAAAATTCGCCTATTTAATACCGTCTAACACCTAATTTCCCCAATATTCGAGTAAAATATTGCTTAAAATCCATCAGAAATCGAATGTTAATTGAAAATTTCGAACTATGAAAGATTTCAGATTCGACTCTTAGGTAGCTTAAAAAATCATTTTATCTAAAGTAAATCACTCTGTATAATTTTTTTCTAAAATTCATATTTGAGAAACTGAATATTCATCAAGTGTTAGAAATCGTCGATTTGTGCTTGTTGTGAATAGGCTCAACAGAGACAAGCCATAAAGCGATTCCATCTTATTAATTGAAAGATTGGGGTTAACATACAGAAGTTTGTCCGTGACTCGACGGTCGCGTCTTATAATTTTTGTAACCCGCATGGTTCTTATTATTTCAGGTGGTAGGTATTTGTTGATCACCGCAGTCTGTATCAGGGTACTTTCAACTTACCCTATAGCAGCGGATAAATTAAACTCGCATAATTGTTTCATGCATTCACAGTCATGATATTTATAGTTTCAGGGTTGAAGAGCCTCGAATGTGAATTTCAATGGATTCCTTATCAAAGAAATTATCGAGAAATTTAATTAGATCAATTAATAACCAATATTCAATTTTTGAAAAGAATTATTGGTTTATCACGTTAGTTCATTTCAGGTTAACGCTAAGGTCATTTGATTTGCTAAAATTTTGGCAACTGATAAATGTCTAATTCCAACTGTAATCTAAATTAAGACTAGTTCCGTCAAGGCACGCAATGACTCACTTCAAGTCGGTGCACACAAAATTCCAAATACGAGAACAGTATCTACCACTCCGGTAACTCTAATGCAAAAGAGAGCACATTAAATGCCTGAGTTGATCTCCATCTTTCTCGTTTTTCGGCATCACCAATTCACGTGACTGCGTGTTTTCAGTGTACAATAAAACGTGCACAGCCTACGAGAAACACGATGAACTGAAGTTATCAGTTGCAGATGCAAAGAAAAGAAATGTATTTGATGGCATGATTTATCTGTTTAGAGCCGTGAGCTAGCGAAGAAAAAGTCGTTTTCACGTTGCTCCATAAAGAAAGAAAGCATTTAATTTCGCGATTAAATTTGATGTTGTTTCGAAGTTATTTTTTCAAAAAAATAACATGGACGCGATAGGGGTAAGCAAGGATAATTAGTGCTTAGCAAGCCAAATGTTTCCGTTCATAAACCTCGGCAAGAATATAAACGTAGTAAACAGACAATCATTTTACAATCAATAATTGAACCAAGACTAGATCAATGAGGATTAAAAACAGATCACACTCAATTGCTGTGAAATTAGCTTCAAAGACAATTAGTCCATCAACGATTATCTAAAACGCGGCAATGGACTGAGGGAATAAAAATAGCTAAATCGTTAAAACAACAGGAAGTAAGCTGAGCAGAGATAAACCGTAATCGGTGCTTTAAAACAAAGATCATCAATGTTTTTTAGAGGTAGTTAAAGAGACACGACGATCTCACTTAAAGAGTATGGAATTAAAAGTAGGGTAAAAAGTGAACAATATATTTAAAACAATGGGAACATGGGTCATCATGAAGGATTTAACGTAGAAGAAAAACAATAGAAACCTTTCCCCAATCTTCCACTCTTTAGGGGAAAACTTTAAAATTCAGCTCACTTTCCCATTAACGACCAGGAATTTGATTTAGTGTAGACAGGTTTCGCAAGTGTACAAAATCGTGTGAGCCAATATATAATCAAAAACGCCCAGAAAATATTAATGAAAATCGGGTCATTCATTTACACTATAAATTTCAGCTCAATTAATTCGGTCATTCGTATAACAAATGAATCAAGTCAAAAATTTAAACATAAGCCTAAAAGTTAAAGAATTGTTACCTTATAAGAATCAATGAACATATAATACGACCTTTTAAAATACTATATGTACTCGAATAATTGCGGTTGCATAGACATAATTATTGACATTAGGCGATGCAAGTATACGCAATTAGATTACCAACACATTTTATTTGAACTTTGAAATCAACAACTAAATAATTTTAACTCGTATTGTTCTAAAACCTGTCAAAAAACGATAGTACTAAATTCACATTATACTATCTTGAAAAGGAACTGGATTTATTAACCTTTCTCATGATAAATTAACCTCTGATTCTAATTGCTATGGTGACGTGACTGAGCGAAGCTTAAAAAAATGCTGAAGTTGAGCTGTAATAAACCAGATTCAATCATATAGGGGAAAATTATGCAAAGCACACCAATGAAAAATGATATTTAGAGTGCAAAATTCGCTGATTTATTTCCAATACTTCCAAAATCTGTTTACAATTATAAAAGATCCTAAACAAACACCTGATTATCGTAGACTTTGCTTAGTCACTCAATAATTTAAAAAATATTTCATTCATACCAAATCTGACACATATATAACATGTTTATAAACGTATATAGATGAAGTATAATGAACTAACATCATATGACCTTGAGTGTTTATAATGAGAGGTATAAATAGAATCAGTTTGAATATGCACATATCCCGTTTGTTATCATATATAAATACAATTTAATTAGTCAAGATCAAAGAGAACTTACACAATGACCAACTCGTTCGGTGATAAAGTAACTAAAAGATAATTAATTTTTTTCTAGTTAAGAAATTGGATTAATACAAATGGGAAGCAACTACTTGATTATAAAAATTTCCAGCCTGGCAACTTTTCTGAGGCATCTAGAATGCGAAAGATTCATGAGAAATTAGAGGACAAATTCGTGGTATTTTCAGCTCTTTCAGTGATTTACTTTATTAGAATTATTTGGTGGATTATACTTCGTTTAAGGAATCCCAGTCTAAGAATGGATTGCATGATATGCTCAATGATTTGGACACAGAAGTAACATCGTTTATCGAAAAATTAAATACAAAGACACAGCTCGTTGTTTCTTGCTACACATATTTTCGAACGCTTGACGAGGTAATTCATTTTACTTGGATTATTGTTTAGCTCTGGAATCTTTTGGACGAAATTGAGAACAGAACAAAGGGTTCAAGCTCATCATACACTATGGACACAGTATCTGAACTGATTAATTGCTTGGATCAAGGATTAACAACATCAAGTTCAAAAATTAATCTCCTCTCTGAAGAACTATCTAGAATTAAAATCTTATTGGACTCAATAAATGATAATTATTATTATCAAATTGAAAATGAATTCCGTGAAGTTTGCCAATTGACTGCGACTGCTCAACAGATAATGAATCTTAGAAAATCAGTTCTCTTTAAGGAGCGAAGGGTAATGAATGATGTTTACCAGTTACTGGCGACGAAATTTTAGTATTTGGAGTGTGAAGGCAGAATTATTTCAATGGTTGAATCATTACTTGCTATCGAAAATGAAGCTGATTCAATTTACACAAATGAATGTGTGGGCAAAACATCTTGTGAAGCAGGAGCTTTGGCTAAATCCTACCGAAGCTTTGAGGACAAATTACAGGCTAGTCATAAGATATAATGTTAAAAGTATTTCCATTATCGCAGCCCCTAAACACATCTTAACGCTTTGTTAGCAAAACAGGACAAAGGTGATAAGGATATAATGAGTCAAGTTTCACTAGTTTTTATATTCTGGTTTTTAATATTTTGATTTCCAATGTGATAAATTTTTGTACTATCTCTGTTTGCAACTTAAGTGGTTTATTATCTTTAATTGATCAAATATTATTTTGTAAAAGGCAGACTTTAAAACGTCCATAATGCCCTTTCAGACTGATTAACTTACAAAATAATCCCTTGTTCTTTCATCGAAGATTTTATGGAGTAGCAAATCAGTATATCCTATTAATTGACATGGAAAAGAGTCACAGTTATCCTTTAGACAGTTTATGTCAATCCATTTATGGGAATAATAACTTCCTTTACCAAAAGTTCGTATTGACGAAAAGGAGTGGACAAAGCGGTTCTTGGATTTCAGAACGTAAATCATTGGAGGCAGTAGAATGCACGGCTTTATGGTTATCAATTTAGTAATTATTCTTTAGTTTCCAGTTTTGAATTAAAATTTTATTTATCAAATCAATGTTAACAAAAACAATATCTTTCCATTTCGAAGAGTAGCTTTGATATTTTGAATAATTGCCTGAACATGCGTATATTAAATGAATGGCTGCCTTACCAATTCTATATGACAAGTCTGTTGTCGGGTGTTTGTATGTGTATATCTCAATACATTCATAATTTGATAGTCTATGATTCAGTTAATTACAATATCTCTCGCAATTGATATTTGAATAGAAATGGATGCTTATTAACATAATATTTCAAAATGACGCTATTACATATTAACATCATTTGGGAAATAATGTATTTATAATTTAATTATACCAAAGAACAGGTTTTGGCTACCGTTTTTACACCAATAAGTTGCATTTGTTCTGGTTTCAGATTGCTTATGATAATTGCCAACATTTGTTAAAAATTTACAAGAAGATGTGCGCCATAGACGGCAGACATCCGACAGAAAATATTTCTTATGCGAAAAGTCGTCTTTCGAAACTCTCAGCAAAAGTTATTAAGAAAATTAAGGGAATGATTGAAATTGCATCCAGCGCTGAATCCTTTTACACTGCATCTGATAATGCAAGTTATTCAACTGTTTAAATTGTCACGATTAATCCATTCCTACGTTCTCAACTTTGTAAATTGTAACTCTAGCTTCTTGAAACTGCTCGAAATGCAATTATTCAGGCATGTGTCAAGAGTCAAGAAGAAAACGACTCTGCCAAGCTTGAAGAACTTTTCAACAATTTTAAAGGTGTCCAAGATATCGCGAAACAGATCCTTCTGAACATGGGGAAATATCAAGAAAAGTAAATTGCAAAAAAATTAGGGTAATTACTAATTAATGTTTAGAAAGACCACGATACTTGGAGAACTTACGACTCACATTCAGTTGAAGATGTACACAATTTGTCTGAAGCTCCAAGAATTTGAAAGGAAGGCCACGGGAAATGTCAGTGATCTTTTCAAATGTCCCTCCGATTTTACACCCAGTTGGTATCACAACCAATCACCTGGTTTGGCTAATCAACGTCGTCAAATTACACAATCACTTTCTCAAATGACAGACCCAACGAATAGATTTTCATCTCCATTTCACAGTGATCGTCCACTACCCCGGAGATTTTCAAAACACCACATCTTCGGCTCAGAGTCGAATGATTATTACATGGAGAAAAGGGACTATGTAAGGGTATTCATCACATTTATAGTTTCAATTACTTATTTCGCATTGTTTATTGTTAAATTCCTAAATATATAAAAGGCAATAATTCTTAAAATTTAGAATGTGATTGAACACTCTGCAGATTGTACGATCCCCAAGAGTTTGAGCGCAGTAGATTTGACTATTGAAGGAACGGAAATGCTCGAGAATGGGAAAAATGCGGCTGAATGGAGAAGACTGCGACCTCCAGTCAATGGTGCTGGTGATCGAGAAGTTTCCACCAGAAGTTCAAATCCTCGTGATACTCAGCCAAACATCAGTAGCAATAATGGCCATCAGCAAGTGTCACATTTAATTTTGAGAATAAAGGAGGTGGAGGAGGATTTGCGCGTTTGCAAACAGCAGCTGAACGGGTATGTTGATTCTGCTTGTCGTCAAGATAAAGGCGATGTTACAGTGGAGTATATCAGAAAATTAGAGACAATACGAGAGGAAGTGACAAACTTGAGACAGGTTGTTCCAGTAAGTTTCACATTATTATTGGTAATCCACTCAATGCATTAATAGTTAAAAAATTTATTTATTTTTTTATTTCAAATGGCAGACGTTTTGATAGTTATTATTAGCCCTTTAGCTGACTTTTTGCCTTATAAGTATACATTGCCCAGGGTGCATTACGTGGAAGTAAGTTTATTGCGCACCCAGTAATTAAAAATACTATCAACCAAAGTATACAAATAATTGATACAATCAGTTCAACTCTAAACGGGGGCCCTTTGTGTAAACCTCACATTGCTTCTTATTACCTCTCCCTCATTGCCCAGACGATGCAATGCCCGTTTTCACTAAACTCCCAAAATCTAAATTGATATTTTACTTATAACGGCACAATCATTAATTATGACCTTCGATCCGACTACTCAGATAAAATTATTTCTGAGAAAAAACTTTTGAATTAAAGTTTAAAATGGTAGCTTTTTCAGTAAACGGTATATTTATTCGAAAGCTATTATCGATTTTAGCCGCATGTTAAATTTCATTTCAAGCACTGTCAAAGCGACATTGCCTATTTCATATTATAATAATTATTTAAAAAAATGATTGGCTTTGTAAACTGAAATGAAGTGGAAACTACAACTTTAATTATTGTGGGCTATATCACCGGCCAAATGCTCACAAGGTTTGCTTACTTTGTGAAATAATGGATACTTGAAGGGACCACTTTAAAACACCGGAATTTACCCTAGTTGGCAATGAAAAGCCTTTATTGTTGCAGAATATTAGTCACATACAATTACACAGATAATATTGCAGAACTATGTACGATATGATTTTGTTGCGTGAACAGGTTTTTTGACTAGGTTATGGACCAGGTAACACGAAAGTTGTTTAAAAGTAAACGCCATTAACCGTGCATGAAGACCTAGTAATTGCAAATCTTACTATGCCTCCTGCTCTTTCTGCTGTTAATAATAATTTTTTAAAGTAGGGAACTCCAAATCACTACTGATTTGAAATATAGGTACTGCCAGGGAATGCTAGACCATGCTCACAATCACAAAGTGTGACAGAACTTTGATACCACCTGACCGTTTTCAGAATTTGTAAAGGGAATATTTTAGAGATTAATACTTTACATTTTTTTCTATTTCTAGGATCAAGAAGCATTCATTGCATCACTTGAAAGTGAAGTGAACATTGCTTTCAATGGAGATAAACCTGCGGAAATGCTCAAGTTGCAGGAGGACTGGGAAGAATATTTGAAAGAAATGAGCAAATTCGAGAATATCCTGCCAAATTTGATACAAGTAAATGACCATCAATTAAGAAAATACGTATACGCTTTAGCTTGAGAAATTCAAGGAACGTTACTCTAAATGTGGGTTTAAGTGAGCGAATTATTTTGAGCAGCTGTATTTCTGTAAGAATTTTTTTTAAGAAATTAACCAAATTCATGAGACTTTATGGCAATATCTCAACATTTAAGCGACGTCGTTATAAATCGAAAATAACACATTCTTACTGAAACAATTTAAGTAGTAATCCATGTTAGGTATCACGCTATCTAACGGGTCGGCAAATATACAAAGTTTAATGGTATAAAAACCAATATTCTAACTAAGTCACATCCGAGAGCATTTTCAAAAAAAACTATCCGAAAAAATTAGAAGCACTTTAAGCAATGAAGAAGTGTAAAACAAATGCAAAAGAACGTATGCCATTTATCACAAAATAACTGGAATTCAAAGCTTGTTCCATCCAATCCTTCTAGAAATGGGCTTCGAGTAAACAGAAGGCGTGAATAGGGCGAACGCACTTCGAGCTATTTGAGAACCTCATATTTCGTGACCGAAAAGTTTAAATTTCCACTTCCTCACTGAGGATCGTAACCCTTGATAGATCTGATTAATTGTATTTAAATGGGAAGGTCTGTACCTATTGATGTTTAATTTCCATATTAATTAATTAAGTCCTAAATCACTACTGATCGCAATAGAAATTCGAAAAAAACTGCTAAATGTTTTTGGACATTTCCATTGGATTAGAAATTTGCGAAAGTGGAAAAAATTTTTGTAGTAGTCTTTAGGTACGATTTCCATCATCAATAGACAACTATAATAATTTGTAATACAAATGAATCCACTATATACATCGGCAGTAGTTGTCAAAGAGAGATCTGATTAAGAAGTTTAAAAAACAGGTTATTCTTCCGTGTTTAATAAAACTGATGAAACAGACAGCCTAACAGCACAGTAAATTATAAATACTAATTGCTCTAAAGTTGGCAACCTACTCTAATTAATGAATTTTTGTAAACAATCCAGTTGTTTATTAATGCTAAATAGAGTTTATAACATGATCACTTTGTTGGAACATTTCTACTCTTTGGTGTGTATTTTTTTGAAAGAGCTCTTTTAATTGGTTAATTCAAAGTTTTTACTTTTAAATGAATGGGTTATGTGTTCTCTTTTCATTTTATTTAGAGCTCAACACTACTTGCTGCTGCTCACCAATTTACTATAACTCTTCAGACCAAGTTTGACGGCTTTACTCAAGATTCCGTGTCTCTTACTGATATTCAGGTGAGAATAAAATTGTATTTTAATTTCTAAAAAATATTACTTTATATTTAATTCAGAATCTGTGGAAAATTCAATTTTAGCAAGAAGCTGTTCGACTCCAAGAAAACATCGAAAAACATTTAAATACCACTGAATATCCACAAAGTTCTATTGGCAACAATTCGTCTATCAATTGGGTATTGAACGAACTTCAAACGGCATTGGGTAGTTTGCAAGAAGCCGGGGAAGAAGCCGAAATTATGGCCACCAATTTAAACGACCAATTCGGCAATAATGGAGATGATGAGCCTAAACAGTCCCCCCTTCTCTACTTCAACGACACTTATCTTGGCAATCAAGAATTTCGAAAGGAAAACGACTTCGATCAAGAATGCCAAGAAGAGGGTTTGGATTGCGAAATTGATTATCTATATTTAGATGGAGACGATAGTAAGCACACGAAACTCACCTGCTTTTTTTAAGATTAAACATATTAAAATATAGTTGCATGAAAAATTATGGAAATAAATCTCGGCATGTTACCAAGTTAAATGATTTTTCGTGATAAACTTTTCTATTTAAATCGTTTTAAGATAAATATTTTTAAACCTTCACTGAGCTTAAACCAAACCTCCATTTAGTTGTTATAATAATAACAATTCTTATTCTTTATTACCTATTTGAAAGTAATATTTTATCCTTAGTTATTAAAAATTTATTATTAATCCTTGTTCTTTTTTTGCTATTTAGGTCAAGCAAACACACCTCCACTACCCGGGGTAATGAATGCACACCCGGGTGGATCAATAACTATTCACCTTAACTTTGGTGGATTCAATCAAGAAATGGAAGTAGAATGGACCTTTGTGCCATCATATAAAGCTCCAGAAGATGATGAAAACTTTCCAAAGTCCCTCCTTGAATCTACCACAAAGCCGATTACTGACATGAACACCGCTTCACTTCTCATACCTTGTGTTTTTTACAAGCATGCCGGTGAGTATTTTGTTACTATTACCGACCCACGCACAGGAAAGCAACTCAAAAGTTCATGTAAGTACATTATACTTAAGATAAATAAGTAGTTAACCATTTCCGTTCATGAATTATTAACGATTTCAGCAAAATTAAATGTAAAGGCTGAGTTAAAACGAGGACTGACTGACCTAAAGGCCATAATCGATGGGGATAAATGTAAAATAACGGGAAAAGATGTGACATTCTTTGTTGAGTATGCTGGATTTGACAAAATTCCATCGAGCGTTGTCTGGCTGCATGATGGGAAACCAATAGATCAGACAAAGTGGACTCTGTCAATCAGCCCATTGACAACAAGGATTAAATCTGACTGCCTTAGTTCAGTTGACGCAGGTCAATATACCTGCCAAGTATCTGACGAGAATCTTGGAATTAATATGGAATCGTCTGGTGAGCATATTTTTCCATAACTTGCTCTTTCGTAATAACTTATTTGGTGCTTCTTTAGGTGCGATAACTTTCATTTTCTCCAATCTTTTTTTGTTAACTATGGGGCAAAATGTTTCCAAATGATTCGTACATGAAGTAATAATAATATTTATGTTATTTAACATTCACAACTAACGATTTTTAAAAAAGTTGGAAAGCATTGAAAGTCTCCAATTTTTTAGTGAAATGTTTTAATAGCATGACTTATCTTTCTTAATTATACATAATTAAAATATGACGTCTTATTTATTTTCTTTTATTTTGGGCCAGTCCTTTATTTGGCTTTAAATTAGAACCTTTATATGTTTTACGTTATTAAATGAATAGAATTTGAGTACAATTATTTATTGACGAGGACATCCTAAAAGCACATTTAATTCTTATGCACATTTAACAAACACTACCGTCATGTTAATATGTGAATATTTTGACCAATATATATATATATTTATGTATTCAAAAACCGTCTTTCTGGAGACATGCCAAGAGACGAAAGTAGAACTAAATCCTTTGTATGCTTAGGGGTTGGAAATTCGTGAGAGTGTTTGCTAGAATCAGGTATCTTCACAATAGGAGACTAATTGAATCATCGAAGGGTAGAGACAAGTAGAGAAAACCGAAAATCAGTTTATTTGTTCATTTTAGGTGCAGGACTTAAGACTTGAAGTACACCGTTTAACACACTTGGATACTTGAGAATAAAATAAATATAAATTGGAGCAGTCGCACTAACAAACGGCTCAAAGACAATTTCATGTGACAAGTTGTTTCTTAAGAGAAAGAATGCTTATTTAGTCCTGTTTAAGTTTAGTTATTTTCATGCTTCGACTATTAGTGATAAGGAATTTGTCGTTATCATGCTATCTTAGGTGACTTACTCCTAGTTGTTATCAATGATTTTGCAAACGTTTCTTTCGTAAATTAGGAAAATGTTTGGCAAAGACGTGGTTGCTTTAAAGTTTAATAAAATAATCAATTTCAAGAATGTTAACTATTTTCAAATTGGTAAGAGGAGAAAATTTAAAAATTTTTAAAGGTGCAATATTCATAATTGCCTGTAGTTTTGTCTAGTTTGTTTGTCTTTTAAATGAAATACTTAAAACATTATTCGATAAGATATTTCGTATTTTTTAAAGTTTTCAACTTACTAAAATAATACTCCTAAATTCTAATCACCCCATACTTGCTTCCATTAGCTGTTTTGAAAGTTCAAAACTCGCTCGATAATCCACGTCCAGCTTCTCGGGCATCTTCCCGAACTGGTACTCCCGCAGCCGATGACCGATTGCCCATCACAAAGGCCCTTGAAAACTCTTCTCTCTCACTTAAATGTCCACTTCCAAGTGTTGCCTGTGAAGCCTACGATAACGCTCGACAAATTAGAATGCAGTGGTTTCGCGATGGAACCCAACTCTTTGACTCGGATTGGCAAAGCCCCAACTACTTCACTGGAAGTCAGGGCGTAGCTTTTGTGGATGGAAAAACATTTTGGAAAGTGGGGATGACTGAAGGCAGGGCGGTTATGCTTAACACGAAACGTATTCGGCCCGTGGACGCTGGGCGGTATTCTTGCCGAGTGAGAATAGATAATGATGCCTACGAATCCTCGGGTTAGTTATTATTTTGGAATGTTATATTTAGAAAGCTTTCCTGAGTAATTACAACAAATAAGGAACATTTGTAACATTGAAGTATTTCTAGTAAGTGTTATAATTCCGTTACTATTTCCTTAAGTATTAGCAAATCCAATTAAGATATAGTAAGTGTCAAATTATATTATTTTAACTTTGCAAGCCCTATTTTACTTCTAGTTCATTTTTCATATATTTTTATAATATTAATAAAATCAAAGGAATTAAGGATTAAAATGCCAAAAAACAATTAAAATTGTCCAGTAGAAAGACTTATAATTTTATTAGGAATTGAACACTTCGAATGTCTGTTGCAATTTTTAATAATTGTTTGAAAAAGTCAACTCAGCATAACGACCCTGGATGCTTAAATTTTGCTAAAGGTAGCAATTTATTGGTATGTTTTTTTAAAAATAATTGTTCGAGTGAATTATTGACGACGAACAGTTGTTGAGGTACGTGTCTAGGTGAATGCGCAGGCAGACACGATTGGTTTAAAAGAAGGGTAGACGACAATTTTCCGTTCATAAACAATAAGTGAGGGAATTCAGGAGTTTCAAAAGTGCAACGAGATTTACTTACATAATTAATCCTTTTTATGTATCATTTTTTTCTAATATGTCCGGTTAATAAGGATGTTGATTGGTAATTTAAATAGTCAACTCTCGATGGTTTACCAAATGTGGCATTTGTCCACCTCTTAAAGCTAGCCCATTTATCAAATTCTTCCAATTTCGTGTATTAAATTGTGAACGCTATGAGATTTCCTTGATGGAGTAGCCCTACGTGGAGGGCAAAATTAAGCAAAGATGATGTTTCAGTTATCTCAGCCCTTCTGTTTTAAGATCATATCTGTTGCTTAACACTATTCAAGACCATTTTTCCTCCTCAACCTTTGGCAAAAATTAAATTGAAGTGGAAAGGTAATGTGAGCAAGAATTTTCGTAGCGAATCAGATAATGAATCATGAAACTCCACTTTCGCTCTATAAGTTGCACGATAAGCAATTATTGTTCACTCTGGGTGAAAATAAAATTGAAACCAACAAAATAGATCCAGTGAATTTGTTCTCAGTGGTTTTTATATCCTATTTCACTCATTGGATGTATTAGTAATCGATCTTTTTAGATTACATTGAATGGCAAATTACATTATGAAATTTCTTTTCCTTCAGTTGGATAATAAAATGAAAGACAACGTTGTTGAATAAAATGAAATTACTGCCGAACACATATTGGCAAGAATTTAAACCAAACGAAATGTGAAAAATGCAGTTTATACAAATGAATAATTTAGAAAAAAGATGATTTTTGGTGTTTTAACAAGAAAAGAGTATAATAAAATAATAATTTAAAACTCTAAATCCACTCTGAGCTTCATACGCAATGATTGCGTGGTTTTAATGTAAATTTTTCATTAGTACCGAGATAAAAGCTATTTCTTGTGCAAAAGATTGAGCTGAATATCCGGTTCAAAAATGACTAGCCACATTAATGTATCAAAATATTGTCAAATAGATGGGATTCAGTGTCCCTATGAGAGTGGTTTCATTTCTTCTCCCAATTTAAACAGTTGTGCAGGGTGGAAGTATCTTGAGGCAACCGAGAATGTATAATAATGAACATTTAATGACGATAAATAGAAGATCAATACGCACCTAATGTTTGGGCAAATTACATTCCCTACCTGTATTTGGTACAAATAGGTAATTTGTGTATTTTAACAGGTACAATTTAATTGTCTCTGTGCATGCAATCTAAAAACGAATGTAACCTCCTGGCAGTCCAAAATCACAGCTAAATTGGATTCAAAAATGTGCTTCAAATGATCTTATAACACAAATGATTAGTAAGGCTGTGCAGTACACATCGAAGTTTTACGTATATATATTATAATATAATAAAAAAGTGTTACTTATGCAAGGGACACATTCAATAAATTGTTTTCCTTTAAAATAATATTGCCCGCATATATATACACGCTACCTTAAAGTTATTTTACGATGCCCCAACTGCTACAGTTATATACACTTCCCTATCTGTTTAATTTCTACCAATTTATGCGAAAAGTGGATCAAAGGACTCTTTGAGGTGCATTTTATAGTGAATTTTATACCCTCCTTTAAATATAACCTCCTTTAATTACCAAAAGTGGACGATTTTGGGGATAAAATAATAAAAGGTGCTATATAGATTAAAGAGTAACTTCTTTTCTCGAACTTCAAGAATTGAAGGTTGCAAGCAATCGTTTCCCCAAAGTACCACCCGCACACAATTAGGTGGATGTGCGTTCTCCTAATAAGCTGAAATAAATGTTTTTTTAGTTATTTCCAACTTTGCTTCAAAATACTATTATCTATTAACATTGTAGGACAATGAATTCAGAAATTAAGTTTTTCTTGTTATTTTTTTTAAAATCTTGAAATAATATAATTAATCCTAATTTTCAACTAGCAAATGGGATTTCTGTTTTGAAATTTACTCTCATGGATGACCAGGTCTGATGTTAGTTGAAATAGCTTAAATACAGTGAAGAGGGTACGAATTTCACATTAATGTGTTTTTTAATCTCATAGATGCCATTTAGAGAAATTTTCTGAATTTAATTTAATAAGATTGCCCGATTAACTGTTGCTTGAGTTTTTCATGTAGTTAAAATGATATTGCATCAAAATTAACAAGATTACATGAGTGATATGGCATTCAAGCTTACCGAGTTAGAGCCTGACACGCTAGCGTCTTGCAACGACAAGGCGAGCAGTGTCAAACTGCTATCTTTCGTTTATCTAAATTTTGTCACTAATAAAATTTTTTAAGTTTTTGCTCTTTTGGGTCTTTCATACTTAGTTCTAAGTACCTTTCATATGCTAGTTGATTCAAATTAAAAATATCAAAAAATCTATTTATACCCAATGAATATGGTGATTTATTCACTTAGAACTTTAGTCGTCCTTACAAAGATTTACAAAGCAAAGGAAAACAAATCTTTCAATCGATCGTTTATTCAATTGGCTAAAAATTCCTTAGAAATATGTGGATTTGGGTCATTTGAATTTAGAAAATTTCATGTGCAATTTTATACACTTTGACTGACGAAGGAAGGAATTTCAACCTTCTGTAGCGTTGCCCTTAACAGGGAGATTTTTTAATCAGTAGGAAACTGTTTCATACCTTTCAAAATTGACACATTATTAACTTTTAAATTACTTAAAAACAAGTCATTGAGCCTTGGAAAATTTAGTTTACGGTTGGTTTGACATAAATAAATAGGAATTTAAATAACACTGGAAGAAATGATCATGCCTACCAATTTGAGAAGATTGTTTCCCATAGTCTTTATTTGGGTGATTTTGACCAGCTAAGGCAGTAAACAACATAAATCCAACTATTGAGGTCTCATAATTAGTGAAAATAAATTCTTATACTAGAATTATGAAAGCGTATTTCAGTGATTTAGTACATAATTTGTGCTAATTTTTATGGTCTGTGACCTTCCAACCTCGTTTTAATGTTCCATGGTAAGCCGTAGAATTGAAAAATGCCAAAAAATCGGATTACCGCACGCATAACAGTCCTGCAGCATGCTTCTCATAAAACAGCCACAAACCGCCTTTTTCTATATGGAAACATTCAATCTTTGACTAAATATTCATTAAGCATGAAAAAAATTATATAATCTATCGTAATTTCGAAAATTGAATAAATGCATTCGGGAAGGGGGGAGGTTAGGTGGAAAAAGCATCTTTTTAATTTGCGAATTTGTGAAAAAAGGAGAAGTGTGTTTTGAGTATTTTAAACAATAAGCAAAAACTGAATACCCATTTTCAGGATGTAAAATTACTTTCCAAAAATGAGATCCATGGTTTTAACTGCATGTTCATCTTTTATTAAATCCAGTTTTAATTATAATTGAAATATTTTCAAACCAGTTTATTTTCCTTGAAAATAGCAAATTTTAGATATGTTTCCGAAGAAAAGTACATTACCGAAACCGTAAAACCTTACAACTATAGTTTAGTTGATTTGAGAAAGCAAACATGATTTGGCCATATTGCTCACTTACTTATAAGAAGTTAAGTATATTTAATTAAATATTTGTTCTGGTATTGCCTTGTTCCCAATGCATGTCAGCAGATAAACATTTTTTTGGTTCTGCTGTCAATACAAACTCCTTCTTGAAGATATTGCAATAATTACTTTCTTGACTTAAAAAGTATGTTGAAGTTGTTCGGTACTCGATCGCTTTCGGCCCGCTATAAAAAAAGTCAATTGGCTGCAACAAACAGGAAGGAACACAGAAGAAATTAAATTATCTCGAGATTGTGCTCAGGAATTCTTCATCGAAGAAAATGCAGTCACGTTAAGCCGCCAATTTTTTGGTCTGAATTGTAGTTGTTTTGAGCCAGGACACTCTTAACCAAATATGATATTGTCCTAATCCTGATTATTTCCTCCAGAAGTTATAGAGAAAAGTCAGCTGAAATATTCACCTCACAAAGTGTCTGTGTCAGATTGGTGGAGCTTGGGGGGTTGAAGTTACTAGCGCATATAGCAAAACCACGTTTTGACAATCAAGAAGGCTGACAGGAAGATTGTAAGACAGGGCAGTGGTTGACATAAACAGGCTAAGGTTTTTCCATTTTTTTTCTACTTTTTAAACAGTCAATTATATTGCGTAAATGCGAGACTTGACATAATCGCTTTTATAATAAGATTTTATAGCTATACGCATGTAGTCACTTATGAGTCCTTTGCTCGTGAAACATGGATTGTTATATGGCCTGAATAATAAACCTCATTAGACTTGATAAGAATTGCTAGTTAGTGGAAAGAGATGACAGAAAGTGCGATAGTGCGTGAGATGGTACATTTGAAAAATTAAAAATCCGTTGATCGCTATTCACCCATACTATTTATTCTCGTTTCCTAACCAGATACAATGCAAATACTACCAGACTTGAGTTATTTAAATAGGCATTAGTTCTTTATACACAAAAAGTGTTTTCACTTCAGGTGTTGTTGCTGTATATTCAAGTCAACAGTTCGTTGAACAGCTGAAAGGAGTGAAGGTCTACTTGGGTGAACCGGCTGAGCTTCGCTGTCGTCTGGAGCCATGGATAACTGGAAACTCCACCGAAGATGACACGCAAATCACGTGGTATCACTTTGACACTATACTGACTCCAGAACTGCAGGAATTAGTTGGGATTGTCACCAGTTGCCAGGAGGGTCTGTGCACTCTCCAAATCAAAAAAACTTCTAGACGCTACGGCGGTGTTTACAAGTGTGAAGCAAAAAATGAATTTGGAATCTGCACTACTAGTTGTAGACTATTGTTAGATAGTAAGTACCTCATCATATTATGCTTCTACAGATAAATTTTTTTTATTTTTATTACTATTTCACTTCAATGCTCTATATTATCTATAAACACTGACTGAAAGTTAAAATGTCCACGGATTGATTCGAAATTTTTCGAGATGTCTTGTAAGTAAATATATATTAAATATTATAAAATAGAAGATTTTAAGAGAGTTATCATTAACCCTTTAGTTGACTTCGGGTCTCCTAGAGAGGAAGAACATCAAAGTCGCAAAAATTCGAGGTAGGGGGGGGGGTGGAAGAACCTTCATTCACAGGGGCATGAGAGGCACAGAAAAAGGAAAGGCGAGTACTGTGGAAGGGATGGAATAGGACAAACAGTCGGGCCATGATATTTTGAAGTCAGAATTTAACTGTCGGTTTATAGAACCTTTTGTCACAAGAGAATACATTGTCTAGGGTGCATCACGTGGAGGTAAGTCTATCACGCATCCCTCCTCACACACACACATATATATATATGCTCATAAATGTGTTGCTTTAAATTCAATTGGGCTTTCAATGTCCTTTTGCATGTCTTTCTAGAACATTGATTAACTGTGAGCTATAATGAGCCGAAAATAACCAAAACAATTTGCCAAGTGAAAAGATTTGCTTTAATAAAAATTGAGTCAGCTGAAATTTTAGAGAACGAAATAAACAGCAATGGAATATAAAAGTAAATTAAATCAAATGATAAGTCTAACGGCTTAGCGTATACAAGATCTATGCTAGCATAGCTCTAAATTTATGAAATCAGATACAAACAATGGAAATGTTCAGTTGCAATATTTGCGGACGTTGATGGTATACCATCAATGGGCATAACTAAGTCATTTAAAAATGGCACTGTTTTGGCTCAAACATTTAGATAGGCTTTCATTTCTTTCCAGCTTAATGCAGATCACCAACTCGGGAAAACAGTATTGGGAAATTCGTTTTAAATTTGAAATTCATTTGAAAATAGTGAACAAGGTAGTGACAACAAAAGTGATAAAAAGATAAAAAAAATTCATTTTTTCACACCAGGAGTAGAGATGATGAGCTCGAGGTAACATGTACTATTATTATAAGTACAAAATTATAAACGAATCGGAATTTAATTCTTCATGAATACGAACTACAAGGTAGTCCATACTATAAAAATTTAATTTATTTAAAATAGTTTCTTCTCAATTAAATAGAATTGATTAGCAATAATCGATCTTTTATACTAAGCGAAGTTGAAACAGGACATTTAATTCAGACACCCCCTCCCATCTCCACCTCCATCCCCCCCCCCTCTCGGGTTGAACAAAGAGTTCATTTCTCTTGACTTTGATCTACTTTGAAGATTTATTTAAAAAAAAACAGATTAGGAAGCGCTTTCATATCCGCATAAAACATTTTGCTCCTACTTTTCGAGATCATGTAAGTCGTTCCGAATCGCTTTTAAAGTGAGCGAAACCACAATATCATCTTCCAATGTGGTGAATTTATGCAAAGTTGCAATGAATGTGGTCAGTAAAGTGTAAGCGAAAGGAAAAATGTTACACGTGTTTTTGTTAACTGCATTAAGATTCAAATCACCCAAATTCTTCACGTAACAAATAATTTTTGAAAGCTGTTTTCCGTGACTAGGCATAATCCGAAATATAGCTGTTAGTTGAAGCAGACTCAATGCATTTATTAATCTTGAGACATATGTTATTTAGGGATCAAGTCTAAACAAGTGGACATTTTTCGTATATATTTATCTGATTTCTTTGTTTTTCAATGAGGATTTGAATATACTACCAAAGCAGAAGGTTCATGCAAAACCCACACTCAGATTTACAAAATATTAGTTTGAGTAATTCAACTTAATGCTTGTTGCTGACATATATCTCCACGCGAAATATGAAACATACAATTAGCTTGCCATTTGAATGATCAACTAAATTGAAGCAATTGTTCTTCCTAAGTGCCAGTTCCTCCTACTGTCATTGGCTCAATCCAACGCATTGAAGACGAGAACGATGGAGATGAAAACATAGCGATTCTTCGAATAGAATACGATGCAGTACCACAGCCCACTGTTTCCTGGCTCAAAGACGGTCAGTACATCAAACAGGGAGCGAAATATGAGGTAGATTTTCACAATTTAATATCATATGATTAGTTTTTATGAAGTTAAGTGTTTCTTGTCAAGCTATTCATGGGGAAAACATCTAATTCGAGCTATGAAATTTTAATAAGCCAATAAGAAAATTAATGCTCGGTTTTTATTTACCACTCAGATAATAACTGCACAGGAGGAGAGCGTTCTGCGTGTAATAAACCCCTCTTCTACGGAAAACGGCACCTACTCGGCAGTCATCAAGAATGTTGCCGGGGTTGCCAATTCAACAAATAGATTTGAGTTCAAGTAAGTGACTAATTGTGAAACGTTTCTTCGAAAATGACCCACATGTTTCTATTCATAATAGTGATCTGATTCAAGCCAACAATAGTGCGAAAAATTTGAATAGAACACCAATCAATTACAGCACATCGTGAAGATGGGAGGGGGAGAATTTTCTGGAGAATTCTGACTGAATCCCATTTTTGTATATTTTGAGAAAGTACAACTGCGTGAGTAGGCGAAAGCCCCATGAGAATAGACAGAAGTGGTTAGGGAATGCTACGGTGAAACAGTTTTTTCCCCGGTACCAAACGTCCGGGTGTCTGAATGCTAAAAATTTAATATGCATCATAGAATTTGAAAAAAATCTTTCAGATAAGACATATTTTTAGACTGAGTTGGACTTAATGAATAATAATACTGAAGTTACATTGCAAAAACCCTTTTTAAGTCGTAAATGATGATTGAATGTTTAAAGGAAGGAGCGCTAATCTACTTAGCAATTTTCCGGTAAGTTTTCAAAGAAAATTTCCAAGAGTCCCTGGACGTCAGTAAATTGTCAATCGTTTCAATATAAAATTTTCTTCTTAATCTTTTTTTTCCTTAGAAAATAATTACATCTCCGATTGGAATTATTGCATTTGTTGATAAAGGAAGTCTTACTTGGTGATTACCTTTAATGAGCCTTGGTTCTTATACATGAACTGTGAAGTTCCTTACGTCCGTAGTTTATCTATTCTCGAGTGGAGTCAATTAACAAACAAAATTGCAGTTATTAATGACAACTTTGAGCTCAAAATAAGTGGGTCAAATTAAATATATGTTTTGAACTAATTATACTATCATTAACCCGATTCAATGGACAAAAACATCACTAAACTCAGTAAATAATGCAAAGAATATTTCGGGAAATCTGATAATCTCAAATCATTCTACCTTGGATGCTAGAAAAACCTATCTGCCTTATGCCAAATAAACGGCTTTGAAAGGTCAAATATCCAAGTAGGAACTCCAATTAATTTTTAAAATAGGTTGATTCTCTTGCTTGCTTTGCATTGCGATTTAAAGATTTTGAGCTCTTTGAAATTAAGGGAATGAAGATTTACTCAACTGCTTGCTTTTGACAACCCGCAGCAACAACTTTCCTCCACTTGCCATAGAGACTAAGTTTTAGTAAACACTGAAAAAGTTAAAAAATGTGGTTTTATGAAGAAAGATTCTAACTTCATCTAGATCTAAGTGGAACTTTAAATGTCCTAATCTACTTCGTTCGAATAAATTGATTGGATAAGAAAGTGATTACAGCATTTTTTCAATTTTTTGCGCAATGTTGATGCCTAAGATATTTTAATGAGGCGTTGAATAGTAATGTGTCGTAAAGAAATTGGAGTTTAACTTATAATGTCTCAGCGAGAATGTATCATTCTGTGAATTTGTACCTTCAAAATTGCATTTCTGGATCTCTGGGATATCACGGGATCAGGATGTTATTCCATTACAAGTAAAGATAATATTTTGTTTCTTGTTTATTTGCACCGGTATTATTTATGAAACACTGGAATTTGGTAGTTGCTTAATCAATTAGAGTAGAAAGCTTTATTTTACATGAGTTTCGTTAAAAATGCAAATTCTTAGTGAGTCTGGTATTTTGTTCTCTAATTAACCCTTCCCAAAGCAAATTTTGAAAAAGTAGCAGTAGTATTCTAAATACAGATAAGATGCCTATTGTTAAATCGAGTAAGAGGTACTGAAAATACAATTATCTTTACCTAATTGTTTATACCTAAAGTGGTCAATAAAGAATGCCAAACTCATCAGTCACGCATGATCAATAATATAGGCTGAAAATTTTGCCTGCATTTAGGAGTGGAGAAGATACATTCACACCCACGGAAAGATATAAACCGGTAAGATAACTAGTCACTAGGATTAATGTGACACACGTGTTTGAGATTATGTCTTATTTCTTTTAATGCTACATATATATTGCGAGATCGACGATTTAAAATCAGAAAAATAGACATTAATGTGGTAGGGGAACGAATCCTGAAATGACAAATGAAGGCTGAGAATTTGAGGTCGTAATATTCCATCTAGTGTACGAAGGCTGATATTAATGAAACGCAACTTTTTTAGACCTTTGCAAAGAAAAGAAAAGAATTCGATATTGATGGGCTTTGAGCTTGAGACTATCTTCACATTTTTCACCACAAAATTGAAAAATCTTTTTTTTCGGTTATATTCTTTTCATCTTTGCTTATTTTAGGATTTACTGCAATAATATTATATCATACTAAAGTAGACGAATGTGTTTGTTCACTGGAAAGAAAAGGCTGTTGTCTACAAATAAATTATACCAAATTTTTAATCTTTTAAATCGATCGAATATAGTCTTGATTGAAATTTTGCAAATTACATTACACTACAGTACTCGAAATTACTGAATGCACACACTTCACGCACCATCATTTGGTTTAATTTCTCTTTTTAATGTTTGAGATTATTACTGTTTTGGAAATTTATTTTACAAATTTTCTTCCACTTTACCGCGAAAACTCATTTTCTCCACCACTTTGAATAATTAGATGAAGATTATAATTATATAATGACATATAACTACTGAATGTGAAAAGTGCGTAGAGGAGGCACTGTTGGAGTTGTGTGCTACCAATTCGAGGCTTCTCGTTGAAATAAAAGGCAGATTTATTTAACAGACAGTGCAATTTAAGAATAGAAAAGCATACCAACACGCAGACAAGTAAGCATCAATTCTTTCTCAGCTCTTCTTTAACGCATTAACTCTTGTATTCAATTATTCCAACCGGGTGCTTGATGTAATCTTTACTTTAATGGACACACTATTGCTATTCAGTTGGTATATTTTCCCTCAATCCATTAGATGGACAACATATTTAAGTCTTATAACTCACTTTTGGATAAGTTGAATGAACTCTGATAATGATAATTCAGTAGGCTTTTTCGTTTTTCTAGCACCTCGAAATTAATAAGAATAATGGGTCCTGAGTGGTTTAGCAGTCACTATAATTAAAAATGACAATATGGAGGGGGGAGGAGAGGAGGGGTAAATATATGAGATTTTCTTATCTGAAATCAGATCTGGAAGAATTGGCCATAGTTGCAGAAATCAAGATCATACGTTTATAAGACTTGTTCAATGTCTTCCGCTCGTTCCCATTATGGATATAACCTAGAATTATTTTTTTTCTTAATATTAGCTCTCCATGCATAATAGCATATTTTGCATTTAAGTTAATAATAAAAGATCAAAATTGGAGTTATTTGTAGGCAGTGTTTAGAATTATGTCCAAATTTCTATTTTCTCTTCCAATTGAGGGATGAAGAAATACCTTTTAGTACCAAACGGTTAATTAAAAAACTTGACACTGCCAGACCCTTCAGGTTTTAGGTATTTCATTTAGCTTGTTACAGCTTTATGAATATATATACACCATTGAATATATACTTGATATAGATTCAAAACACCTTTAATTTTCTCAACTTAATCCACTTTAATGACGTATTTGTAAGAAAAATGAATAAAGCTCTACCAACTATTGAATGCTTTCCATAAAAATATTCTTTCCTTAAGAATTTACAAGGAGTGTTCAGAAATGCTTTGTTTTTTTTCTACTGACATTAGCAGTTCCGGAAATTTTTGAATAAAATCTTGATTTTATATTCCGTGAAATTAAAAGGAGAATAGAAGTAAAGCTTTTGCAACGAAATGGTTGTTGAATTCTTCCTTGAGAAGCATAATTTACGGCTGAATTCGTAAAGTAATAATGATTGACAAATGACTGGGTGCATTTAGACAATAATTTGATCACTTATAACTCTATTTCTCTACTTGCTATAAATTGAATTTCAACCAAATAATGTTAAACTATCTTGGATAATTTTTACATTAAATGGCTCTAAATCTTTCATCAATTATGATTCCACATACCCGAATAAAATTCCTTGATTTCAATATGTGCGCTCTGACGATCATCTATTTGAAGGTTTGTGGTGGAGTGGAGGAAGGTTGGGGTGGGGGGGGGGTTGAGTGGGGTTCGGTTAAATAAATTTCCCACAGTTTCTTGGCGTCGGCTACTTCCCTATTATTCATGAATTGAAACTCTGATATGCTTAGCTCGTTATTTTTGTGGAAGTGAATTTTTATTTGATTTTTTTGGCTTAAAAAAGTGGCGCCGCTGCCGTTTCCTGTGCAGCAACTGTTGATGCTAGTCCTATTGCTCTGCGTATGGCTATTTGTGTATCGCCACTTTGGGCGTCTAATATTTTGAGTAAAGAAGCTTCCAACCATCAATTAAGGGGCTGTTTATTGAAGCATTGGTAGGTTTCTCAGCCAAATTTACTTGTATTTTATCATATTGATTTATTTTGGAATTTACAGGTCATTTTGTTCTAGTTGGGATTTTTTACAGTATTGTGCTTTCAAACAGTGTAAAAGATGGCGCGTCAAAACTTTCAACACAACTTTACAGCTCCAATTTACTCAAGGTTAGTAAGTTAGGACGCTGCTATTAAATTAATTAAAATGACAATATTTTGTGGTCAATCAACGAATTTGAAATTCACTTTAAGAATGGAAGGTCGATTTCGAAAACGGGGACAAGTCTGCCCATTGAAGAAATTTTCTCATATGGTTTTACACTTGTTTTATTTGCCATTGTGTATGAACGACTTATTTACAGGGTTTTGCCTCTACTTTTCCTACGTTATCAACAGAGCTAACTTCAATTTATTTAGGAATATGCATATTTGCTTTAATGGTGAGCCTTAACACTCAATATGGTGGCCATGCCAGTATTAAGTAATTTTAAAATTAAGGGAATTTGGTAGAAATTGATCTTGAGTGATAAAATTGTATGCCTTGTGTTGTTTTTTTAACCTGCTCTTGCCCTTTTACCAGGACTGACAATTAAATGCCTCGTGATACCCACCCAACCTCCCCCCCCTCACCCATCACCTAACATTGGAATACAAAATTCTCACCTTCTTTCTAATTAAAAATTTATTATTAGTTAATTTGGCGTTTATTTAAAACAGTTTGCAATAAATACACTAAATAATACCTTTCCACTTAAGAAAGTATATCTGTTCCAATAGTATTGATTTCAAGTTAGTTTATTTTAATCCACATATAATAATATTAGCCTTATATTATTATTTATTATATTATATTTATTTTATTATCATTTTTATCAACAATTTTTGAAGTGGAGGAGTTAAGAGATCGCAACCATTAGGAAGAAGAACTTCGAGTAGTAACCCAGCGAGTTCGCCATATCCTTCGACGAATAATAAACCAAATAGGAGAATTTCTTTTGAACCGGAGGACGATTTCTTTCAAAGAAACGGTAGAAAGTCTGTAGTTTCTCCACAACCACTACCAAACAATATCAGCCCCGAAAATTCACAAAGTTTAGGGAGAAGGCCTTCAAGTATTATACCGGAATATCGCCGAGATGTCAATTATCGTAGATCATCTTCTTTCATGAATGATATACCCAATAGAAGAACATCTTTTGAACCCGAGGACAATTTTTTCCAAAATAGTAACGGAAAATCTTACACACCTCCACCAATACCCAAAAAGCGAAGCGAGATTCCGTTTACGTATACACGGGATTTCGGACAGGAAACAGAACCCATTGTGAGAAGTGTATCGGAAAGTAGTTATACCATGCCAGTTGAAAAGAAGAATCCAATTTCATACCACCAGACGCAAACTGTTGATAATCGGAAAGATGCAAGAGCTTCTCAACCCAATTTATGTACACCTATTGAAAAGAGACGTGAATCGATTAATTTTATGCCTCCACGTAATGACACACTCTTGGTCTCATCCTCCCCTAAATCAAATCAAGACCAACATTATGAAAAGGCATTTTTACTTCGACCCCAAAGTATTACAGCCAAGGTTGGAGAAACTGCCGTCTTCAGTTGCGTGATTAGACCACCTTTTAGAGCGCCCGATATTCATCGGGTGATTTGGCGACACAATAACTGTGAAGTAGGTGATGAGCTGAAAGAAAGCCCAAGAGTAAAGGTAAAAGCAAACGAACCATATAAAGGTGTATTTCAACTCAAAGTCACCGATATAAAAGAAGGCGACCATGGGGCTTATGAAGTTGTGGCCTTAGATGAATATGGCGCTGAAATATGCAGTGCGACTTTTCAACTCTCTGTCGACGGTAAGCATTCCATTTTACGATTTTCATACCTTATTTTTTAATCCAAAAATATTTAATTAATTGTTAAAGACTTTCTGTGTGAATTTTAAGGTATATGTCATAAATTTGGAAGCTGATTTGCATCTTAACCATTTTATTGAACCCTTCTGTTTTATCTATTTCCCCTCCACCCCTCCTCTCCCCCCCCCTCAATTTTCCCAAACTCTGCGGTTCCCGGTGTCGGTAAAATGTTTAATAATGCATGCATATTCCGTTTGTGCGGGTTAAATGTAGTTTATGCACCTTGTAAAAATGAGCATACATGCGAAAGTGTTGAAGAATGCATCCACAAATTGAGAATCACTTCATCGGCTCGGGTGAAAAGCCCTTTGCACTGTCAAGCACCTACATTCTCCCTTCCAAACTTGCATGAAAACGGTACATCCAATAGATTGATGAATTTGGAGTTAAATTACTCCCTAGAGAAGACTCCATCTCACCCAGCGGTTTCAACTCGATCATCATTTACCATTATCCCTGGAGAGCCTGGTCTAATCTACCAAAGGAAACAGCTCGGCGGGCGTTTAATTAAAGCTTCAAAGAGACATGAAGTGGATCATTTGCCTAAGACTATTTCAGATAGACGAATTGATGTCTATTCACAGTCTCTACCCGATCTGTGCGATTCCGATATTATTCACAGGTCCACGACGATTCTAGAGACATACAAGATGTCCCCGAGTATTCTTCGTTCAAATGATTCTTATCTGAATTCTTCCACAGATCTACGTATGTTATTTTGGATTATAGCTATGACACTTTCCCAATCCTAGAGGGGATATTTTTGCTTATTTGGAGAAGTTTTGTGGAATCATTTAAAAATCTCAAGAGAATGAGATTCAGAAGATTGCAGAGGAAACATGCCTTAGTTCGAATATATTTTTGTATACTGATTCCATAGAGGCGTCAGGAAAGTCAATGAGGTCAACCTTGATGACAGGCTGATGAAATTATGCTCAAATAATCTTGTCTCAATGTGTGTTTATCTTGGAGGTCATTGTACATTCATTGGGTCACTTTTCAAGTTTATATGTATCGTTACCAATATTAGTGTTAATAATTTCCTTCATGATTATAGAAAGGGATACTAAGATGCCTTTGAACTTTACTGATCAAGATTTTTTGCAAGATATACAGCATAGGTGGGCTAATGGTCATATATCATCGTAGATGTGGACTGCAGTAACTTTCGCTTTGTTAAATCACGCGTTTCTAGAGAGATCAGCAATAGAAGAGAGAACTCATCAATTTTGAGCAATCAGTAATAAAGTCGGAGTGTTCTGATTGGATTCATGAGTAGAGGAGAAATATGTAAAAATAATTTGAGTCAATAAGGAATGAGAAGGTGGTACAAACCCACAAGAAGATATACCCATGGTAGACAACTGCCTTCTAGAAGTTAAGTGGCACTTAGACTTGTTGAAGATTGTTTCTGATTTCTTTTAATGCTGCGCTACTTACAAGATCGAAGATTCAAAATTAGTAATGTAGGCATTAATATGGTAGGGGAATCAATTCTAAAATAACAAATGGGAGCTAGTATTTTGAAGTGGTTTATTCTGTGCATTATTCGATGGCCGATATTATTGAGATGAAATATTTAAAAAAAATTTCTCAGAGGAAATCAGAGAATTTGGCATTGGTTGGCTTACTACTTGCGACGACCTTCATTTCCATTAGCTCTTAATTACTCAAATTACCACTTTTCCCGAATTTGGATTGACCTACTCCGCAATGCTTGTAGAGTTTTCTCATTAATATGATTCGACTTACTAGCTTTGCGCCACAATGTAAGTCAAAATAAATGGAAGATTCAACATCTTGTCTTGTTATTTAGGCAGAAAAGCCCATGACGGCTCTCGTGAGCATTCGGCATGGAGCGAAGAAATGTACCTCGATAGTCCAAGACTACCTTCACAAGTTACTGTGGGAGTTGGTGAACGCCTTGAAATCACCTGTTTCGTCTCTGGTTATCCTCTTCCTCAGATCTTTTGGTTTAAAGATGGAGAACAGTTGAATGAGCAAAATCCAGATAACGATTTTCAAGTAAGCTTACTCCTCGTTCATCAAAAGTCATTGATAATATTGATATTTAATGACTTTGTACTTGTAAGGCACTTTGTATGATACATTTTGAACATTATAACCCTTGAATATCACCTGTTGGTTGCGGCTTATCTTACTTCAAGAGTAAAAAGTGACATATCGCATCATTTATAATTTCTGACCCTTGGATAAATATATGGATAAAAGGCTATACTAATTTGCAATATGCCACTATCTTTTGAAGAAAAGGGCCATTTTTACTCAATATTTATAATTAGCGCGTTTCCTCAATTAACAACCTCATTTAAAATAACAACTACAGTGATTATAATCAATCGATAAAATTGTGGCCTAATAGAAATTTTCAGCGTGCCATTTATCTAGAAAACTATTTTTTAATATGATTTCCTCCTAAAATAGCTTTGAGGCAATATCAGAACGAATCGAATTACCAAAGAAATAACATAGCATCTGAATTGCAGGTCCTAATCTTTCCCTCAAGCTATTTGCATCGCAGGAAGCTTCAAATATTCCATTTTTAGAAGACAAACAGGTTAGTATCGCCTATGGGGTTAGAAAGCGTTTCTTCTTTTTTTGTCCTTAGACCGTTACTCACTTTTCTTCTGTGGAAGAGGCACAGTACATCCGATAGGCCACTCAAGTGAAATATGTACTTAAGAACGTTATTGCCCCATTACCCAAACAAGATAATACAATACTTGGCAACTTGACTCAATTACTGTCGAGGAAGAATTCTAAAATTGCATCTACCACTTGAAGTGTTTTTTCTTAGAGCGCGTGGAATATACGAAAGTTGTCGATACAGTTTATTTTGATTTCCGAATGATTAGAATAGACACAAATAATAAAAAGCTTTCACCAATCTTGGCGTATCGTAAAACTTTAAGAATTTAAAGGAATATTTAGATGAAAGATTGTCACATGGTAACAAATCTACTAACCTGGATCTAAGATGATCAAAGTACAATTAGTTCAACGTAAATTAAGCAACCCATCGTCAACAAAGGCGAGCAATCAACGCAATAATATACTTTTCCATTGCCAAACACGTACAGCTGTTGATGACAAATGAACTCACGTAGGACGTATAATCGTGAAGCCAACATTGTCACTTTCTCCATACAAGTTTAGTGAGTGCTTTATTAACTAACGTGTAGGATAATTTACATTTTTGAGTTTCTCAAAATGTATAGGAGTGCTATAATGCAATAAACACGTACTTTCACTTTTAAAATGAAAGTGATTTATTCAAAATAAGCAAATCGAAATATAAAAATGTTACCGTATTTTATGCAAGCAATATCCATTTGTGTTCTGTTGTTCAACTGAATTTGGAACAGCTATAGACAGATAGAGGTGATTCTACAAAAGGTCATCTGCATTTGGACAACAGTTAATTTACGAGCGTGTTCAAAAATTCATAGCCCAATTAAGAGTATGTGAATATTTTAGATTGAACGAAAGTCGCAGTTATGTTACTACAGTATTTCCGTATCACCTCGTTCATAGTTGGAATCACCAGTAACGAAAGGAAAGTCTATAAATTATATGCTTGAAACTGCTCTATGAAAAATTCATCTTCTAGGCTGGTTTTAGTGGATGATTCGACATTGTCTTATTTAGGAATAATTCAGCATATATTATCTATCAAATTCTGCTACCGTACTTCAGTACCTCTGTTTGTCACCTCGTTGATATATTCAAATTCCGGCTCCTCCGTACCCTCCGAGATAGCAAGATTGAGGTTTTTACAAATTCTAGTGAAGAATTTTCGAGAACGTCATACATGAGCTTAAATATTGTTAGTGCCAGACCTTGGCAGACATAAGAAAATCGCATCCGTCGGCTTGTTACTTCGCTACATTTAATTATCCAATTTGAAAACGCCGACCCTGCAAGAATTTATAACTCTCTAATATCATTCATTCGATAATATATTCCAGAGACTTTCTTTTCATAAATACACAATTTTGCTTTTTCGAAATAACCAATCAGCAAGTGCGATGCATCTTCCTCCGCAATAGTCGAAAACCTGAAGACGCTGTATTCTTGTTCACCCATGTTCTCTCTCCCCACTGGCCGTCTTCCTCTCCCTCCTGAGTTTTTATTTCCATTACAAAATTAAGCTTGATACACACTTCTCACGACCTTTCGATTCTAAAACGGTAATCCCCACAATATTTTCACTGATAGGGGTTCGGATAAGGAATTAGAGGGATGGAGATTTAGACAGTGGTATCACTGGTTATGAAGTTGCTACCACAATACTCAAGAGCAGTAGTGACTTGAGCCTTGATTGCTGTTAAAAATTAAGTTTTCACCAGTCATTTGAACTCACATTTGATATGCACTGAAAGATAGTAATTCTCTTAGACACAACGTATTTGTTATATTTTCTATTAGGAACGTAAAAAATGTAGTATTTTGGAAGTGAATACAACAAATGCTTCTTTTGTCAGTATTGTAAAGTGATTTATTTTTGAGGCTAGAATTTGCGTCAATCTGACCTTTAAGAGTTCAAACTATTTATTTTGACTTTCGCGCAAATAACACAAATTGTCTTAATTGTTTAAACAGTGCTGTGCGGAAACATGGAAAGTAGACGAAAATTCACCGACTTTTAAGTTTGTAATAAGAATTAACTTTTGAGGAAAAGCTCCATATTAACCAAAATATAACTACCTTAAAGGAAATTAATGCAACAGATTCGAAATTCGAAGTTTAAAGTTCATGATTTTTTTTTTATTTCAACAAATAAAAATTGTTCATATTTATTCACTTTCTTATTTCGAATCGTGAAATTAGATTTGTACTCTTTGTATTTGGTAAAAAAATATTTCGATATTTTATACTGCATATGGCAGAATTTCGTTAAAAAATGTAGTTACTGTATGTTCTCTGTTTGTCTTCCACTTATTTCGTTCTGAAAGCGGAAAAAAATCGATAGGATAGTAAAATTTGATAGAGAATATTACTATGTAAAAACTTTGAATTTTGGTTCGTAAATGTTAAAGATAATGCATAAATTGTGTGAATTTATATGGATAAAACCATTTCTGATTCTACTTTATTGGTGCAAATTTGAAAGCTTCCTTCTTATATAAAACGACATCGATAACTAATAAAGGGTACTATGAACTTAACGTGGCAATGGCAACTGAATACGTGAAATAGCAAATCAGTTCAAGGAGAGACGACGTGGGAAATTAAAGTAAAGTATATAAACAAGCCAAGTTTCTAAATGGTCTTACTTAAGTAGGAATTCAGTAGCATTTGGTTGTCTGATTTGTCAAAGTAAATATACCCTTCATTCTTGCCAAAGGTCAATGGCTGAAACCTTGTCGAAAGCTTATATACGACTATGATTTATTGCGAATCAATTATAACTAAACCTATTATAGTTATTCTTTGAATAGTTAATTTATAAACCCAATTTAATTTGTTTCGTTCAATCAACTAGTGAAATCATGCTCTTGCTTAAAATCGAAATATTTTGCTTCAATGTAGATTAGAAAGCACGGTCATATGAATCAGCTCATAATTCCTTCTGCGCAACCTCAGCATGAAGGATTATGGGAGGTGATCGGTCGAAATGCATCCGGCCTAGTGATGAGTGGCTCACTTATACAAGTGACGATTCAAAATCTATTGAGATCGAATTCAATGAGCTCCGAAAGATCGCTCCGCGCCACCACTTCAATGACTCTTCAAGATCGCCGTGGTGGAAATCGTTCCCCTTCTCCATCGGAATCGTCCCAAAAACGTATTCTTCTCCAATTAAATGAAAAGACACCGGAGTTCAAGCGATACTTTCATGATCAAATCGTGAATGTTGGTGATACTGTTTGCTTCCGATGCATCATAGAAGGGAATCCAAAACCTGAAGTAAGTCATCAATTAATTATTAATTTATGAGACAATTTGTTTTAACGCTTAAATTTATACAAAATAACGGACGAATGTTAGGGAGAAATAAAGCAAAAGGTTTTCGTCTCTTTGAGTTAATATTTGTCAGGATTTAGATTTTTAAATGTTTTATTATTGCATGAATACCATTGGGAATGGAACATTTTAACTTATAACAGTTCAAATAGCTGTTTTATAGGAATAGTAGATAAGATATTTCCTTTTTGATACTGCAATGAAGATAATGAACAATTTTGATATTTTATAAAATTAATTTTAATTCACTTTGCCATCAGATTAAACTTTCTTTATCAATATTTTTCATAAATTGCCTAATGTCCTCATTCCAGGGTTCATGACAAGATTTCAATTGAACAAGTGACAGAAAATTGATGATTTCTTTCTTTCTAAAATGTGATTAACTAATTTGACATTTGCTTTCGTTCTATTTCAAGACCGATTTCTCGTTTATTATTTAGTAGCACTATTATCAACAATTTTTGACAAATTTAATCAACATAATTGAATGATGATAACTTATTATTCTCGAATATGACCGTTCTGGACTGCAACTTATTAGACTGCAGATGGTTTTCGCCAATTAAGATCTCATATTCCATCTCTCATTAGATATGGTTTTATTATCAAGCAACGGTAACTAGCGGTCAGTGAAAAGTTCTGACAAGGGTAAAACCATTACATGTGCAAATAATATTAACTTTTGAAGTTTAAGCAATTGCATTACGTAAGTATTGTGTTTTGCTTGAAACTTAATGAAATGGGTACTAGAAAATTTTCTGTTTCAACCCTATGACAAAGGAAGTGGCCAATTCATGAGGAACAAAATTGGATTAATTGCTTTCCTGGTGCCAACATGTTCGGTTGCGTAAGCTATTTTTCAAGGGTCATTCCTTCGCCACACACCAGTATGTAAGCCATGTATGGAAAATTCTGCCTAAATACATGAATCTCTAACATAACAATTTAATTCAATTTGAGTAAAGAGGAAATTGCTAGGGGTTTGCGCGGCGCCTTATCATATTTTATGGCCTCGAACGCAAATGCGAAGGGCCTATTGTCTTACTTTCCAAGACTTCAGAAACCTTATTTACCAAGGTAAATTTGTCTTACTTCGGTCATAGATTATACAATTTGAGACCTAATATTCGTAAAGGTGAACTACCAAAATATTATACTACCGCTTAAATTTCTGCTGGTGGCTTTGTCTTTAAGCCCAATTGCGAAAGGAATTATTCTCTTTAAGGGATTTATGACGGCTTACTTATAGCTAAAATCGACCCCTTTTGTAAATACTGGATGTTGCTGTAGTTCACCTAGTTTCCTTCCTACTTTCCACAGGCAATTGGTAACATTTGTTAATTCTGCACCCTGTGTCTGCATTCTCGTAGAAAGGTAATATCAAATTAGGATAACTTGGTAAACCGCTGTCTGACAGGTAAATCTTTACTAGCATATTGAGGTTGACATCATTTATGGACTATGGACTATGATAAGGGGGCAGACTATTTACCGACGCAGTTTTCGCTCATACTGGACTGAGACCATCTTACGCCTGAATTAGTTAATGTATTTTGGCCTCCAATAGTCCATTTATTAAGGACGGGGTGCCAAATTACAGTGAATTCCAATAGCAATTTTAACTACAAGGCTGCAAATTTTCGCTTCAACTCCATTCTAACAAGTACCGAAATGTAGGACATGAAAGGAAACCACTACGTAGCCTTTAAAGTTAAAATTCGGCTAAATGGAAGTGTGGTGCTTAAAGAACGTATGCTTGAAGTGAAGAAGGTAAGTCAAGGGTATTTAGTGTTAAAAAGTGCTAAAAGAGTAAGTCTTGAAAATTAATATCGATTTATCTCCAAAGTGTATGCCAACCCCACAACCCCATTAGTTGATGTTAATGCTGTAAGGCTTCAGTCTAAATTTCTGTTTTAATGAGTCATGTTTACGAGATCGTATTTTTAATAAGTTGCCAGTTAAAGTAATAATTTGCTTTTCAAATTTTCAAATATTTCTAGGACTTTGCTCATTACCGGAACAATTATCTGGAAAAAGTCTAAATTATTATTGAAAGTGGGTTTTGGTTTTGAATTTCATGTATATTTAGGAATTAAATAAATAAAAGGAAATCTTTTTTGACTTGTCCAAGCCAAATACTTTTGGATTTCAAAGAATTCTAAAAATAAGTACTTTCTAATTTTGAAGTAATTTTATAGTTTTTAGATAACAACGGTATTTTAAGAAAGTAGGGTATCCTTGTAATGAATAGTATATTATAGACATGTTCGTAGAAATCTGACCCAGCAATATGCATTCAGGGAGTTGATTGATAAGAACCAAATAAAAACTAATCACGTATGTATGTATATTACACCTTATATATTACCATTTCGCCTCGTGGGTGATTTAATGTCTTAATTTCGAATCTTTCAATATCTCCGTTATGTCTTTCTTCAGGTAAAAAACCTTTTCAAGTACATCTGAACAAAAATTGTTTAGTGAGAGAGATATAGTACGTAAGAAAATAATTTTCATTGATTCAATTACACGAACTAATTCAGTCTCTTCGTCCTTTCTCCAATTGTTTAATTTTTGGCAAACTTCAAAAAATTAGAATTGCAAAATACTCCTAAGATAGTTCAGTGCTTAATATAGTATACCTCGTGAAAAAGATGTAAAAATTGGATAATTTAAGCCGCTAGTTAAATGGTTGTCCTTGTAGTTTCACGTTGATTCAAGACGGAGATAACCATATAAATTCGTTTCACAAATAAAGAGGTCCACAAAATGCGTTCTTTCCAGACGATGGAGTGCGGTTTAGTGCTTAATGCTTACTTAATCCCCTAAGCAACACAATTTTTTTATGAGCCATGATTTATTAAGCGGAAAGTGGTGATTTAAAAAGGTCCAGATTAAATTCAAATAATTAGTTTCAAAATGCGTACAACACTAAGGTCATGCCGGGGGGCTGCGTTGCCGCCCTTGCCGAGACTATTAGTGCAAATGTTTCTTTTGACCGAAAGCTGACCGCGCCAAATTTGTACTTTTTGGGCTCTCTTCGATCAGGCCAATCCCAAATCCTATACCGCTGGTATGCTTTGGTGGAAATATAATCGCACTGGAGATTTTCATCCTATTAGTTCTGTTTTTAGGTACTTATATGTTGTAGTTTCCTATCCCCCCTCCCCCCCCCCCTACGTTGACCTGTTGGGAGAAAGCGAAGCATGGAAGAAGTAGTACTTAATACAGAAGATATGACTCAGGTATGAATCTAGATCTTTCAGTATAACGTTCAAGAAGAAAGTTTGGCAAATTAAACATTTTGGGGAATCGTTTTCAGAAACCAAGTTGAGATTATCGTCGATTTTTACACATGAAGCCTTCAGGTCCAACTACTTTTGGAGTAGTCTTCTTAACCAAAGCTTGATTATAATGGCGACTGTAGGGAAGTTTAAGATGTTGGTTTTCAAGAGCTGTGATTGATTTTTATCAGCACTTTTGCATTCCCGAGTTCCATACACTTATTTACATTCTTCTGAATCGACTAGCTTAATTAGAATAAATAGCAATTTGGAGTTGGCAAATGTTGTTTTTTTTAATAGCTTATTAATGCTAGTTCATGTAAAATTGGACCAATTTTTTTCATAATTTTTGGAAAAATACAAATAAAAAGAGAGTGAGAACATAACGAAGAGCATTTCCTTTTTTAATATCATGAAATTTCTTTTATTTGACGAGTAACGAAAATTTATTTTGTACTTTATTCAAGTCTAAATCTCTCGAGTTCATAAAAGGGTTTATGTTGACGTTTATATGACAACGACTTAAATTATTGTTAAATTAGTTATTAATTATAGAAATATTTGTAATTTGATCTAAATAATTGAAAAATTTAACTGTAATCTTGTTGAAATATCAAATGATTGAAGAATTACCGCCTATTTGAATTTTAATTGACTTCTTTACACAGAAACCTATTTTCAACGTTCTTTACCACGCAATTATTTTATCTTCAACATGGAACCACTGAACCTTACAAACTCAACCATCATCCAACTTCAGAAGCCATGACCTTCATTGAACTCTGTCAATGCAATCACTGAGTTAATATACCCATATTCATATTCGATTCGTCTACACAGCGCTGTGAAATCATTGGATCTTTGCTTATTACTGAGATTTGATATTATACCTACAGCATGTATAAATACGATTTAGCGAGTGGATTCCGCGTGTTTATTAAGTTATTTTTACCAAGAAATACATTAACCATTCGAAGTGTGCAAAAAATTTGCTTGAAGAATACTCGATATGCATTGTTTTTTTCTTCTTCTTATTCTAAGATTCGTTGGGAACACAACGGTGTGGACATTTATCAAAGCGGGATTCGAAGCTTCCAAACTAATAATTCCGACCCTGAATATGAGTTGGTGCTAAATTCAGTTGATGCCGAATTCGCCGGTCGGTATACTGTGATCGCAGAGAACCACCTTGGACTGGCGGCTTGTTCTGCGATGCTTACAGTGCACAGGTACGAAGCCCGCAATTATTAAGTGTTGAATCACCTCTTAAAGGGCATTGCAAACACTAATTTAACATTTTCATAAATCTGTAACTACTCAGATTCCACTCTGATCGGTGAAATGTAGTTTCCTAAGCATAAAATATGCTTTTGCAAAATAGAAAAACTGATAAATTTTTGACATATTTCTAAGTTAATAATTGTTTAGCTAATTACATTATTGCAAGGGTTATAATCACATATGAAAAAATTAAGGTGCTCAAGGTATATGACTCCTGAGTTTCACTCTAGTGAGGCGAAACGTTTCGGTTATCTTTTCAAATAAAATGCAACTAATTAGGCAGCCCACATGATTTGTCTATTTTACTTAGCAATTTTTTAAAATCACACTACAATGTTTAAAATATTACTGACAGACCATTCTCTTAAACATCCGTGCCGCATTAATCGGGTTATATTAATTTGATCATGCATATTTGGCCAAGATTATGCTCTTTTAACCTTTTACAGATGCGTTTTTAATATTTTACGGATTATCTCATTAAATGTGCGTTTCAGAACTGTTGCCAAGGGTCATGAACCCTCAAAAGAAAGTGGAAGATTGTATGAAGCCTCTTTGCCTAGATCGTCACCAAATACCATTCATTTATCACCCAGAGTTGAATCTCCAGCATTCCGCTTCGACAATTCCACTAATGATGAATACGATTACAGTGCGATTCAAAATACCAGAATGTGAGATTTTGTGTAAATATATCTAAATTAAAATTATTAGATAATTTCAGCCAATTTTAATTTTTAATCACAATTTAATACTAAAATTTAATTTTTCATGCCAAAAATTTTTAAGTTGAAATGAAAATAACAATTTCACTTTTTCTTTCATTTTTGTTCATAATTTCACATTATTTTTCAATTATTTTGTATTCAACATTTATATCATCATATTTCATATTTAAATAGGTTCATTGTAAATACTTCTTTCCACCTTAATTGGCACTGATTATAAAGTTGCACGAGAGATTACATTTTCTAATTTTAACCTTTCAAGGTCTGGTAACTAATCTCCAGGAGAGGCAGTCATTCACCGACAATTCGCAGCGCTATTGTTAAAGAAGAAAATATCAGCGCGTTCTGTTGTTAACTGTGATATTACCCTTACACGCCTGCTTTTATAATACATTATTACACTGACTTGCTTTTAAACTCCGAGAAAATTAATTTCTAAAAAAACTCCTATGGAAAAGTAATAAACTTATTTATGACCAAATCAGCTTTTTTTCTCACATTGAGGAGGGGCACTTTTATCTCCAAAACAAGTAACTTATCGGTGAAAAGCATTTTTAAATTGACTCTGAATTTTCTTAAATTTCATTAGGTTGATTCTGGAGCAAGCGAAGTTGTATGACTTTTCAAGTACATTTATGCAACAGTAAATGCAAAATACTCTCTTGCGATAAAGTTAGAGATTTGTTTCCATTAAATGACTTTTTATTTGATATGACTGACTGAAACAGACGCATAGCTTTGAACAAATTACCTTTAATTTTCGCTTACCGACGTGGATTTCTCAGAACAAAATAAGAATTCGACATAGTTTTTCCGATGAATTTCTTCGTTTTTTTCAAGTTAATTATAATAATGTTGTACTATTTAAGAAGCCATTGTTCACAGCTTTAGAATGAATACATTACGAAATATATTCTAAGATCCAAGGAGAATATGGCACTGAAAGATTGGTTTGGACTTTATTTGAGCAAGCTGATATAAAGAGAGGATATTCTTTCTCAACGAATATAATTGACAAACTCTAAACTCAGGTTAGTGCAGTTCCGGTGAGTATATTTTGATCTGTTTTACACAAATGTATATTTCTTCTCCAATTTGAACCCATTGTCGTCTCAGGTTTGTGTAATAATGGGCTAGTAAACGCGTTGGGTTCAGTCATACTTAACATTTAAGAGAGTATAACTTATTATTTGAAAATTAACTATCAAATAGGACATTCTCTACAAGAGCACAAACAATTAATGCTTTGCATATTAAAATAACAGGTTAATGACGTAGACAAATGAGTCAAGTCAGTATTGAACAAGGCGGTTGAAAATCGATAGTCGCTAAGCAGGCGTGGAACCTTTGTTAGATAGGGGCAGAAAACAGTGGTTACCCTAAAAATGCACAAGTATTCAAACATAAATTATAATTATCCGCTATATATTGTTCAAATTTATTGTATTGCATTTACAAGTGTACATTTTTTAATTATGATGACAACTTGTATTAAAGTACACGCTGTTCAGTAAAATCCATGTATCTGTTAGATTATACGGTTGCGTGTAATGCTAAAGAATGTTTCAGGTAAAAAAATATATATTTCTCTGGTTTCCTCATCTACTCTATTCTGGGCTTGCATTTTGCTCTAAACCTTCAAGCTTCATGATATATTGAAAGGATTACGCTTCAAAAAAGTCGAGTTCGCATTCATTTAATCTAATATTTATCAAACGATCTTTCAAAATAATGACATGAACGTAACTCGCATAATGCATGAAGAGAGAAGTTAAAAATATGAGTCTAAACATGTCCTCTCGTTATTGGTTATAATAAATAGGTTAAGGCCAATCATAAATTTGAACTCAAACCAGGTTTTGAATTTCCGAGTTCTCGAATGATTCTGAGCAACAGTTGATAGAGTTGCGAGCTCCATCTAATTGATTATATGAACTTAGACAACTCAAAAGTTTTCACTAACTTCAAATTGTCTAGTCTTGTACAGAGGACCCCCGTTTCACCTCCTTCCACTAATTCCCCTTTATGCCACTGAATTTTGAAAAGATCTTTTGACACTGCTACGGCTAATGGATTGCGTATTTCCAACCATAATTCCAATCACTTCCCCATAGGCGTTGAATATTTCTCAAATAAAATGACATGATTTAATTACGCCTAAATTTTCAAGTTATTTTTTCCCAAAGAAAAACAGCATATAAATTGTAGTGCGAAAGGAAAAAAATAAAAATTCCTCCGCAAAACTTAGCATGATTCAATGGATTTGCCATTAAGTTGGTAGTGTATTAGGAACCGAGATCGAGTAAAAGGAGACTGAAGCAGGCATTACCCATCAATTCTTCCTGAAGGGAGATGAAACTGTCCCATTGGGCAACAAAGAGATGTCAAGGTCCAATTTCAAGTCTATTTTTGTTTTAGTTTGCTAATAAATATCGAAGCCTTAAATAGCTATTTACATTCGACACTCCATTCTTAAAATCTCTCTTAGTAAATTTACTTTAGCTCTGAAAATGCATAATCTATCTAAGCCCCGTAATCCATGGAATGGGATAGAAAAAGGACTAAATTCATCACTTCTCTGCTATTCTACTTCAAAAATTTAATAACGAGTTGATTGCATTGTGCTAAAGTTGTCCAGAATTTATCTATAGTTTCCTCTGAGAGATTTCAAAGATCACTGGCTGATTGATTATTTATGAGATTGGTAGGTCACCTCGATGCATCTATCTATTCTGGGAACTAAAAAGCTGACATTTAATGACTTAAAATAATTAAAGAATTATTTGTTTTACTGTTTTAAACATACAATCTTCTGAGGTTTATGATTTCAGGCGACTATAAAAATTGTGACTAAAATATTTTTTTAGCTTGAACTTATGTGTTCTCAGGATCAGATTGCCTCATTAAAATAGTTTCGAAACACATTATTTAGAGTACTATTACTAGATATAATTATTAATAATTCTCTCGCTATTTACAAATTTAACAAAATCCTCCGAAGCAACTAAATGGCACATTTATGTAATTTCGGGCAATTCCTTCTCCCATCCCTACCCCCCCCCCACCCCCACCTCATCCTCCCCTTCTCCCTTTCTTGACATTG